GGTGCCATTGTTGTAGTCGTGGTTGTTGCTGGTGCCACTGTTGTCGTAGTCGTTGCTGGTGCCACTGTTGTCGTCGAGGTTGTTGTCGGTGCCATCATTGCAGTCGTCGTCGTTGTAGTGGCCACAGTTGTCGCTGTTGTTGTAGGTGCCATTGTTGTTGTCGTCGTCGTTGTTGGTGCCATTGTAGATATAGTTGTTGTCGGTACCATAGTTGTCGAAGTCGTTGTTGTCGGTGGCGGAGGGCCACATGAAACCGTTACCGTTACTTGTTGCAGAAACACCTGACACCTTTCATCAAGACACATGGTGCTGCTCACTCTCAAAATCTGGTTGAAGAACTGACCTGCGTCAATAGTAGCAGTCGCAGAGTATGCATTTTGTTGTTTCGCCACTACGGCCGTCTTGAAGTAGGTATCAGTGAAGCAAGCAAATACTAATCGACTCTACAAACGAAATGGCGGCTTGCAAAAAGGGAATAAATGCATATTATAGTTTTGCTGTATTAACGACTGTCACGCTTATTGTTTTTCGTAAGTGTACACATAAGTGCAGATCACTCAAAACAAGGAAAGCACTGTTGAAATGTATGACACCTCCAAAAATTACTACGTATTTGGAACGTCCCGTCGTTATCAACAGAGATCAAACACTTCCATACAGAAAAAGTTAAAAGGGATCTCAACAGTCATCGTTGCGTTTATAAGCATTGTATTCTGCTAGAACGTGCATGATTTGCTGAGGATATCCGGTTACTCTAACCTATGGTCACGAGCTTGCAAATGGCGGGAAACTGGTGAAGTTGAATGAATATGCTGATTTCCCGTAAAGCTGAATTCATGGAAACCGTAGTGGGGCAGGAACAGGGAGACTAGCAGGACGCACCCTCCGCAGAGAACGCTTAGGCTGCGTTTATACTTTGCGGCAGCGTAGCGTAGCGCTTCCAGCGTACGCCAGCGGCAGTGTCGGGGAAAGGATAGATATCGATCTAGCGTTCCCAGCGTCACCAGCGTACGCTAGCGCACGCTGGCGTAGCGAGGGCACGGGAAGCATAGCTATCGATCTAGCTTCACCAGCGTTTCTCCAGCGTTTTCCCAGCGCTTGCAGCGACGGGGCTAGAGAGGGGCTAGAGAGTATTGAAGGAGGAGGGTATTTTCGTATTGTCCTACATTCAATACTCTCTAGCCCCTCTCTAGCCCCGTCGCTGCAAGCGCTAGCGGGGCTAGAGAGTATTGAAAGTAGGAGAGTACAAAATACTCTCCTCCCTTCAATACTCTCTAGCCCCTCTCTAGCCCCGTCGCTGCAAGCGCTGGGAAAACGCTGGAGAAACGCTGGTGAAGCTAGATCGATAGCTATCCTTTCCCCGACACTGCCGCTGGCGTACGCTGGAAGCGCTACGCTACGCTGCCGCAAAGTATAAACGCAGCCTTACGATCGGCTAAGCGAAGTGACTTGGCACATGAATAGTTGTTCAAGAAAAAAGTACACATTGTCACCCAGGGACACACTAAGGCGACATCATATGCCTTGAGGAGGCAGATCCAAGAGCCTATTTTTTTCGTTTGCGGCTGCCGCCAGCAGGGGCCGATCATCAACTCATTACTATTATTGAAGAAGATTGTTTTTCTGGCTGTTAAATAACGACCCACGTCAGCGAAAATAGAAATCACAGAAATACCGCAACACACGAAGGCAAATGAAACGCACGAGGTAAATTAATATTTGATTCTGGAAAAAAATGTCAGAAACAGCAAAACCAAATAACAGCGATAAATTGGGCATGCCCCAGAAATGCGCTATCCAGTGAATGGCGATGTACAACAGTGCTGCGCCCCGCTTTTTTCATCGGATTACATTTTTTAGTAACACAGAGACAGGGCGCACTTTGAATTTCCTGACTGGAATGAAGACAGAAATGCTGGACTTCAGTTTCGAATATATAAAAAGTTCAAAAACACGAGAGTAAGTTTGAGCGCGAGATTTCAAAATAGAAGTTAAGTGCAGCAGAGATACATTAGGTTATTCCATTCAAAAATGTGGTGACACAGAGGAACGGCAGGAAAGCAAACGGGATAGGGCAGCGGAGCTACTATACCATTTGGAGGCTAGTACCTTCAGCTATGTCTGCAGTTGGAAAGAAGCTTGAAGAGAAAATTTTTGCCGGATTTTCAGATCAGGCGCCATAAGGGAAGAGTGCAAATGCGACCTACTATGGACCGGTAGTTGTGTGTAATGGTGTGTATTGTTCCGAAATACAAGGTGGAAGGTTTGGTTCAGGAGCCCGAAGAAGGAAGAAAGGAAAAATTTGTTGTCGTGGATGGTCCCATAATGTTCATCCTGCACAAGAAAAAAGGGTGGATGAAGTCAAGCGCTGAATGTCTGATCTGGACCTTTGTCGAGCTTCCCCGCGAGACTGACATCCCTGCTGCAACTGCTGCCCGAGTTATGTCCGATAAATTGAGGATGGTCACGAGGGTGTGAGCAATTAATTTTCTTGTGCACGAAGCAGTACCAATTCGTTGCCTCTAGCAGTAATGTTCCCCGCATGGGATGTCATTCACGACTGTGAAAAGATACCCTGGCCTTATAGGTAGGGGTGGTTCTGGAGCTTGAGCCAAAACCCACAATCGTCAGTTTTGTATGAATGCAGATGAGAAGCCGCCCGAGTTCTACCATGAGGAGTTACGTGGGCGCAAGTGGATGATCATCATAGCGAAGGATTCCCACACTGTGGCTTTCAGGCGGCTCTATACAGAGAATAAAATCGTCGCTGTCGGTGTATATTGCCTGTTCCTCGGCAATCAGATCGACAAATGGATGATACCACACAACTACAAGAAGGCCACCGTTGCTCGTCATAGTGCCAGACCCCGAGTAACTGTATTGTAGGGCAGTGCTGGGACACAAACAATACTGAGACCTGGGTTCAATCGCCCCATTCGCCCAACATAAAGCCGTCGATTGTTCTGGACAGTCGAAG